AAATCAATTTTAACAATACTGGAATTTACAACAGAGAGTGGATGTATCTAAAATGAAGGAAATAGAAATTCCTGTTTAAAACCAGAACATTATATTGAAAATAAAGAGCATAGTCTCAGTATGTTGATGGTTCTAAAGATGATTTTATAAAACAGGACCAGTACCAGAAAATGAATTGCTGTGTCAGTTGAGAAGATAAAGTAGCAGAGCGACAAAAACTGTGAAAACAGTCTTTGAATGACTAAGGAGATGTTGGGAGTAGAAAGCTGTTTGTGCACAGCCTTTCACCTCTCAACAGCCAGCTTTATCTGATGCTCACTTGTAGTGGAAGCTTCAGGAGGTTTTAGAGAAAAGTGGGGCAGGTATGCTCAACAGAGGCTTTATATAGTACACCGTCTGTCCAGAATATAGATCAGGTTGCAGCATGGTATCAGCTCCCAACTGTCCTGTCCTTGAGAAATGGAGGAGAAGAAAGAGAAGATGGGAAGTATCACTCTGGCGCTGGACTTCTTGAAAAGTTGTGGTCCTTCCACACAGCAAGAAGAGCTGCTGATGCTCTGAAAGTATCGATTAGATGCAGATGGTGGAAACCAAATAGCCACTGAAATGAAGCCCCTCAGGCAGCACCCAAATGTCCTTGAAATATTATTTCCATACTGAGCATCATGGATTAGACCTCAGGACGCGCTGGCAAAAAGAAATGCATTATTCTTTTTTTTTTTCCAGAGTTAACAAATAAACATTATGTATTTGTTTCAAAGTTCAATCTCTACTCAGTCATAAATAATATATCCATCTGTTCATCCATCCAACTATCCATCCAGATGAATGTAGATAGACCTAAATTATTTAATCTGCACTGCAAATTAGGTTTAGTTGCAAAGTTCAAATTTTTTAGTGTTGCACAAGAACCATATAAAGAGACAGTATTGTGGATTTTCCAGCCTCAATGCGATTTTATATCAGGTAACTATGTTACACATGTTATAAAAATGCTCTACATGTCAAATATGACTTAAAAGAAATTTGACTTCATAATTCAACATCTTGAAATTGGGCCTAATGTAAAAGAAAAAGGGTTGCAGTGTTTGATTGTCAGCACTATGACAACTACAAATCACATTTCACAGATCAGTCTAAAGTTTGAAGTAAAACAAATGAGAGGGAAGTAGGTCAGTTAAACTAGCTTGACTATGTCAACTTTAACAGTAGATGTGCTGCAGAATTCCATGTTAGGATGACTGTCACCAACAGTAGAAGAAGTGTGAGCCACCACTGTGTTCAGCTGATCACTTCTTAAGAATCACAAAATAAACATCAAGCCTAAAAACATAACACTGTAAAGGACTGACTAAATGTTCTGCTATTACTGTGGGAAATGCGTGCATGTTTTTTTTTTCTTTTGGTGTTGGATCCTGATATACTTGAACATAATCTCTGCACTGTCAGCTAGTAGATTGTTGTTAATTAGTTGTTATAACGGTTCTGTGTGTAGCGTAGATGACACGGAGCTTAAAAAAAAAAAAGAATATGAGTGGTTTTGAACTGGTGACTGGTTTTTATGTGTTATTTTATCGTTTCTGTGGTTTACTGCACTAAATTAACAGCAAAATGAAATTTGGAGATGGAGGTGTTACGCCCCCAAGGTCTAGGGGTCCAGGGGCAGTAACATAAAATGTGTCTGGAGCAAAAGTGTAAAGTAAAAATGATTTATTACAAAATAAAGTTTCACAAAACAATACAATTTAACCCAATTAATGCAAAACAAAAAGGATTAACAAACTCAAGAATGCCAAGTGCAAATTAAAATTACAAAAGTCCAAACAAGTCAATTCAAAGTAAACTCAAAATAAACCACAAAAGGAAAACAATGCAAAGAAAAACACACATACAAAGGGGAGGCTGCAGGGAGCCCACAGCCTCCCAAACACAGGCTTCTAACTCATACTTAACTGGAGCAAAATCAAAATAACTAAACTGAACAAACAAAGACCAAGCTAACTTAAAGCAGTTGCAACTACCAAAAAAAAAAAAAAAAAAAAGGGGGCAGATCTAGCGC